TTTCTATTTTCTTTTGAGGGCTCAAAGGGAATTTATCTCTTCTTTCATTTTTTAACCAACTCATTAGGGTTAAATAATTTTCATGTAAATTAGTATGTAATTAGGAACTTTAATATAGGCTTTGAAAATAGTATATGTGACCAATATCAAATTTGTTAGTCTTTCATTCTATATTCCATCTAATTTAAGAGTACCAACGCACGTTTAAGAACATTCCATCATTAGTAATAACCGTAACCTCTAGAATTTTCTTTTAATATAAACTTTTGGAGCAAAAAGTAGGATGGGAAAAAGCCAATTATTTTTCTTAATAAAGACAATAGACAAAATCTCCTTTATAATTAGAGAGTTGTAAGCTGGTCAATTTTTTCATAATTAAGACAATAGAGAAAATATCCTTCATAATTAGAGTGTTGTCACTTGTTAGGTATCTTTCGTTCATTCATACAGACTTTCAAAGAGAAGAATGAATGGGACTTGTCGCATTTTCACCATTGAATAACAAAAGTAACATCAATAATTATCAACTTATGTACTGAATATGAAATAATAAATCAATAGATGGCATGAAATCCTGAACTTAGAAAATTTTGGACGGTGAATTTTACAAGGAAATCTTGTTGCCAACTTCAAGTTTGATTCAAGTTCAAATCTTCGTTCAACCTATTTAACTAATATCGCTAAGATATGTTTGTCGAATGGCTCCAATACTAAAGACAAAAGTGTTGGAAACATATTTCTGTCAAACTAAACGTTTGTAACTCCAAATCGATGTTGGATCTAACAAATAGTTGTATCTCAATATTTACTACAGTGAAGCTAATAGTTCACTTATGGCCACAGACATTATTAATTTTTCACATAATTTATAAATTAATGGACCTTTATGTTTATGAATATAATTCTAACTGACTGCAAGTTCAAAAGCATATTGGAAAAATTATTCTTTAATTGAAAAGCAATGTGCACTGCTAGGGGTGAAAGGGGAAATTGAAAATTTTAATTATTGATAAGTACCCCAAAAGTCAAAAGACGTACAAGGGGAAGAAAATTGCAAAGAGTGATGTAGATAATATTCGTCCTATGAGTCAATTCGTCAACTCGCTACTCGATCAGTATCACTCAGAGTAGACATATATGATTAATTCTCATCAAACAAGTGCATCAACATAACAGACTAAATTAACAAATAAGAGTCTGGTTGGACACTTCTTTAGAGATATTATCCAATGGGTTGGTCTAACTAATTAATTATCAACAACCTTGAAAGTGTGAGATAAACATATGGATAACACGTAGAAATTGTGTGAATGGTGAAGTCGTGATCAAGCACTATACCAAACCAATAGAATATGCATCGTTGAAATCAAAAACTCTTTATTCGAGTAAACGATTAATTTAACTCTTTTAAGTGTTGATCTTGAATTAGGTAAACTCTACAAAAATATTATTGCACTAACATGAAAGTGAGTATCACCAATTAGAAACTAGTCACTACTAAAAATAGGGCAACGACACCGATGGATATTTCCGATGAATGTGCTGACTGTCTGATGAAGTGTATAAGAGATTAAAGTTTATGATGAAATGAGACATTTGAAAGGCAAAATAATGATTTTTAATTTCATGATAACTTCGGGTTTGTTCGTTTTTGGCGAATTGCTAGTCTAATTTGATTGGGGGAAATCCATCGTTTAGGCTCTCGTTTAGGCCTTTTTTGTTATTTATAGTAATTTTTGTTTTTGCAATATCTTTTTCCATAAAATTCGGATTTGTATTCCGTTTGTTGGAGGATGATCTTGAATATAACGAATTTTCATCTTAGTAGTTATCTCATATTTTTTCTATTTTTGGAAAAATATCTTTTTTATTTTATTTTCCGAATTTTGCTAAGTTTTTTTTAGTTAAGACATTGTAAACCCTTTGAGCCGACAGTTCTTGAATTCAATAAAAATTTTCTTATGAGTTTTCTCATTTTGTGATTGTTCATCTTCCCTATAATCTTCCGCTACGTTACTGTCAAAAAATTTCAATAGACCTTTTATAGTCGAAAATGTCAACAATTTTATTTTCCATTGGAAATTTACCATTGGGGGTTTCACCAACCAACCTTTTTTCTGTCCGTCGGAATTGGACATTTTCGACCAAAATGTTGCGGAAGCTCTCTCAAAAGGATCTTCAAACGGTGGTTTTCCAGGCTCAGTCCAACGTACCTTTCTCTACCAACAACCAATCCAAACGGCTCCAAACCACAACCAATTGATTCACCTTGATTGCTATTCAATCTTACCCACGTAAGACAAGAAAGGATGATGATTTATCGCCACAAAGGCTAAGAGAAGACGCCACAAAGGCTAAGAGAAGACACCACAAAGGTATACAATGAAAGAACCACCAATTGCATACGTTATACCAGCGTTCTGAACACTTCTTGACACCTTTTTTCTCACACAAAGGGGGGCAGCCAGGATTCACTAGTTCTTCTCTCAAAATCACTCAAAACATCATATGAAAGTGGTTAGGGTTATAGCCAAATATATACTCTAGGGTTAGGTTTTAAGTTGGGCCAATAAAGGGGTAAACAGGCCAAGATTCAAGCCATCCATAAGGAATACAATTGGGCCGGGTATAGCTCATGGACTTGGTTGTTGGACTTATTTCATTCATCGGCCTATGCTTATGAAATAATATTAACCCACGTTAACATCATAGCCCGAAATTTATT